GGGCAAGGGCGGGAGAGAAATATGGGGAAGGGCGTTTATCAGTAACGTGGTAGAGGGAGATGGGAGTCCTGTTTAGCTGTGTGGGAGGGAGGCTGGGCGTGATTAGAAACGCAAATACTTTGGCCCCACCTCAGACCCATTGAACATGAAACTCTGAAAAGTGAGGCCCAATAATCGGTGTTTTAACAAGCCCTCTGAGTAATTTTGATACACACTGAAGTTTGAAAAACACCAGAATAATCAACAGGACCCTCTTAAGGTGTCACCGCAAGACAGTACATAGGGGATGAGATGTGGCAAGTGGATTGGGTCCCCTCTGGAGCATACCTTTGCTGGTGAAGGGAAGGAATGCACTACTCCGGGAGATACCATAACGGGGGGGGGGGGGGTTAAAAAAAAATGAGAGTGGTGGGACAATAAAAGCCATCCCAAGCCAGGGAGATCAGTCCCATACTTTGACCAAAGTATGACAATGTGTTGACCGCCCCAGCCGGCCATCTGTCCTCCAGGTTTCCTTTCAGCCTCAAGCGCAGACCCATTATCCCACTTGCTGGAGATTTCTCTGGTTCCACTTTTGGCCACGCCCTTCTCCGTTCTGCAGATTCGAATAAACCAGGAGCTTGCAAAGAGACAGTCCGTCGGCCATGGGGCAAGGAAGGCAAGGAGTTAAGGACCGCTTAGGAGGATCACCTGGAGACTGCCCTGGCTCTTGCCCGGTAGAGAGAGAGGGGCCTCCCCCACTACCACCACCGTCTGCCCAAAGCCGGATCTCTGGACTCACATCAGGCGCGCATCAGGTGCAGTGGTTGATAAGCCAGAGTCTGCAATGCAAATCCAGTCTCCAAGACTTGGTTGACTGTCTAGCCACAGAGCTGAAGATGTTTCCCAGTCAGAGGCAGGATAGTTAGGTCACTCTCTAGGGGTCAGCTGGCACTCCCTGTGCAGAGCTGTATTTTTAGGTAATTATACATGTGATTTGCAAGGTCTAATATAAGCACTTATGTGCTGTCTCATGTAATCCTAACTAGGGCCCTTGGAAGAAAACCCTGTCACCCTTGTCACTGAAGAGGACACTGAGGTATTAGAAGGTAGGAACTTGGCTTGTGTCCTCCAACCAGGGCCAAGCAGAGTGCAGGTCAGGAGCAAAAGCCCCAGAAGATGGCAGCCAGGCACTCCTCACTTTTATGCTGCCCCAATCCTTCCCAGGGTTCCTTCCCTATCCTCTCAGACCCACCTCTTAAGTGTTACTTGTGAGGCAGGTGACACTCAACTGTAGTTCTGCCTTCAGGAATCTGTCCCTGTTCCAGTCTTGAGTGATTGCCCTGACTCCTAGTCTGGGTCTGGAGTTTCATCTGGATCCTGGAGAGATCCAGCATGCTAACAGGGACACTCCAACAGACTCCTGTGTATGTGTGCAGGAAACAGTTCTGTCCTGTGCACTAACAGAGAGCAGGGAGGGTTCTGAGGAGGTCCTCTGAGGCAGGGCAAGGTGCTAAGTGAGAGGGTGTAACTAAGGCCAGATGACTAATACTGGGGAAGAGGAATAAAGAGGCCTTTGGGATGGAGGGCAGACCTGGTAGCCCATAGGAGTGGGGATTTGGAGAGAAGAGGAGATGTGGCAGCTGCTACCAGGAAAGGGAGTTTGAGGAAAGGACCAGGATATTCAGTGAAGACATAATGGGGTTGCCATAAATAGTGGAAAAGGAAGATCTCTCTTCATTCTCTGGGATCTGATACCCCACAGTGAGTGTTGAGAGATGGCAGAGATGACTGGGTCCATGGGTCCCCTCCTGTGTTGTAGGACTCACCCTGAAACTTCCATGATACACAAATCGCCATGACCAGAGGTGACTAGATTTGGTGACCCAAGACCATATCCAAGACTCAAATATGGGAGTTCACTCTTAGAACTTCTCAGTGTCAGAGGGTCCTCCCTATCCCTGATGTGAACCTGCCTTCTTCATGACAATATGATGGTGACTGCAGACAGAGAGGAATTGCAAGACCTGAGGCTTCTCCCCAACAGGGTCAGATGGTACAAAGATTCAGTATCTCTGTCCATACAGAGCCCTGAGCTGAATATTTTTGGGTCTGTGTCCCAGGTGCCACCTGTAAGCTCTTTGTGGATTGGTGTATGAGGTCTCTGAGCTATTGGGAAACTGTTAATTGGAGGTAGCAATTTTTGGAGCTGGTTGGGGGTCTATTCCTCAGATGTAGCATCTTTGAGTTTTTTGGTGGTTGGTGTCTAGGGTGAGAGTCCTCTGAATGGTTTATTGGTCTCTAACTCAGAGTATGAGATTCCTGAACTATTTGGGGGATCTTTGTCTAGAGAGTTAGGTTGCTTAGTTTTTCATTTGTCTGTATCCCAGGATGTTTTTGTGAGGGAGGCAGGATGGACCTTTCTCTCACAGGGTTTAGGACAAGGCCTGTGATGCCATATTTGGTTTGATCTCTCCCACCCCTGCTCTGGTACCACAGAAATGAAAACATAGGATCCTCATCCTCACCGAAGGCTCTGTCATATGCAGCATGTAGGAACTCATGGTAATGATGCCAATCAGAATCACATTTTCTGCTGACATCAACCCCAGCCTTGCTCAGGACCAAGCCCTGTGACAAACCCATAAACACATATTAACTCAATTAATCTGCCAAACACCTTATGAGGAGGTCATCATTTGCAAATAAGCAGGCTGAGGCCTCACTTAAGGAGTGAAGATGGGTGACATGCTCACAGTCTTCAGCTCTTGAGGAGGGGAGGAAGTGGATGTAAACTAGGACTCTCTGGAGGAGTTGGGGAAAGGCTTAGGCACAGCTGAAGTCAAGTGGAAGATGACAAGGAAAGGGAGAAAGGTGAGGGTTGCTCAGGGCCACAAGAAAAATATGTTCATCACTGACAGCAGTAGAGAAGCCAAGGACTAGAGAGGGTGTGAGGGACCTTGTGTGCAGCACAAGTCTCCCCGTAACTGGAAAATGTCCTTGTCTTGATAGGCAGAGGGTTCAAGATGTGTGTCAAGGCAGTGGGGAAGGTCTTTCCTCATAACTGGGCCCAGGCCACGAACAGCTGAGTCTGTCCTTAGAAACAGTTCCTAGAGAGGGGCTTCCTTTCCCCTATAGAAATGGGCACAGCACCAAGTAGCATGGATAGGAGTCCGGTAGTGTGGTTGCTAGTTTGGTGGGGATAGTAAGCTGCTGGAGTGTTTCTGTCTCTTTAATGCTCTCTTTCTTGCTGTCTTTTCTGTGTCTGTTACTTTACTTCTCTTACTCATGAGGCTAGTTGAGACCTTACTCATGATATGAGAGTCGTTTCTCAGCTTCTTTTAATAGATTTTTTGGGGGAGCAATTGGGAGGGATGCCCCTGAGTCTAAGAGATTGTCCAGAAAAGGCATGTTCAGCTGCATAAGGGCCAGAGAAGAAGTTCCTCCTTGGAGAAGAACTCCCTATACATTGGGTGACCTGGAACTCTGAAAGTAGCATAGTTGCTTTTCTGCTAAAACTCTCCCATAGCTCACTCAGTGTTAAGTCAACATCCTCACTGTGGCCCTACAAGATCTGACCCTTGTGATCTCTCTGACCTCATCACCTACCTCTCTTCCTTAATCATGCTGAGCTGGCCATACTAGCCCCCTCACCACTCCTCATCCATGCTAGATACAGTTTTACCCCAACACTTCTGCACTAGCTCTTACCTCTGCTTAGAATGCTTCTTCTTCCAGATATTCATCTCCTATAGGTTTCTGTTCAAATGTCCCATTCTCACTTTCCTTGACCACTCTAGAAATGCTCCTCCCTTCTCTATTATATTGCCTTGACTTAAGTTTCATTACAATTACCAACCACCATCTGACAAAAGATGCACATTTTTATGCTATATTATTTCAGTAGAATGTAAGCTGTATGAGGGCTGGTGTTTTTGTCTTTTTCCACATAGTGATATTCCTAACACTCATGACAATGCCTGGAATGTAATTTGGAGATAAATGAATGCATGAGTGAATTAAACAAATGCAAAGTTGTGGTGAGAGACAAAGATTATTCTAGGAAACTTGTTGAGGGACAAGATTTGTTTGACTTACTCAGTGTCCTTGGAGTCCCAGGAGATGGCCCTTTCCCTAACAGAACTTGAAGGTCTTGCTGTACCTCTCACCATTACTGATAGCCAAGAACAGAGGTCCGGTACACACCATACCTTCTGACCTCAGTCAGGAGCTCCATTCTTCCTGCCCCTTGGGGGACTGTAACTGGGTTCCTAGGCAAGAAGGCCCTCAATTAGACCTATTCTGCATTCCCTAGGGAGGCACAAATGAGCACAATGCCCAGCACATACTAAGCGCTTAATAATGCTCCCTATTACAACAATGGCGATGGCACGGAAGTAAATTTCAACTTACAGATACTTTTCTCGATGTTCAAGACTGCAGCAAACACGCTGTTTTCGTTCTGACTTTACCCTATCGCCCTTTGGGGCCTGTTCCATGTTTGCACCACCAGAGGGCGCGCTGCATCAAACAGTTCTGCCCTGGGATGTACCACTGTGGAGTAAGGAGATAGGATAGGATAGTCGGGACGTACAATTGGGGAGGAAGCGTCCGTTTTGGAACAATACCTTGTGTGTGTGACAGCAGTAACGGTCTTCTTAAACGCACATGGGGCATCAACTACAGATCCCAACGAAGGGACTAATGGCCCGGTTGAGCTCTTTCTTACACCCACCACTCTGTTCCCCTAGCCCATTCCTTTAACCTGCTGCAGTCAAAATTTCAGTTGTCAAACTACTCTCCCCCCCCCTCCCGCATCTCTACATAGTCAAATCCAGCTGAGGACTGCAAAGGGAGCAAGTGATTGGCTCTGGGATGTAGAGGGTGGTGTCAAAGACCTTCCTGGGCAGTGATTGGTCACTGAGTGGCAATAAGCCCTTCCGGGTTGCAGAGTGGCCCCAGAAGAAGTCCCTAGTCCTTTTGTGTCTCTAGTTCCTATTGGCCCGATGTTTGAGGTAGCCACAAAGATTACCAAGCGTGGGTTCAGGCTGAGGGATGAGGTGTGTGACTTTTCAGACTCGAATTCTTTGGACTGACCATCAGCTCACTAAAGATGTTACCCCAGTCAAGTTTGCCCTAATTACTTGATTATAGTCAGATCTGAAATCGGGGTGCGCGAGATGCTGGGTGCTTTCATGTGAGTTCTTTCATTGTTTACCCTAACTTGGTCACAAGCCTACTCAGGCGCTTTTGGCATCACATAATCATTCCTACAGATTTATTCAGCTGATGTCCAGGGAGTGGTCTCTGAGTTTGTTCCGTGTCTCTGCCTAAGAGGTAAAGTTTGTAAGGCAGTTTGGGGGATGTGTATTGCTAGGTTATTTATTATGTTATTTCAGATGCTGCTTGGGTATATTTGATCACTCTGAGACTTTTGAGAAATAGTGTCTGAGTTGGATATTTTATCCAAGTAGGTTTTGTGTGACACAGTATGAGATCTCTTTGTGTGCCTCTGTGTCTGGGTATACATTTTCTGAGCATTTGGGTATTTGTGTTCTTTGGGGGGGGGAGGGATATGTGTTTTTGAGATTGAGATTTGTATGTAGGCATCTGCACCTCAGAGTGAATTCACTGAGCTGTTTGTGACTCTGGGTACCAAATTGTGATGTCTTGGAGCTGTTGGTGCCGGGGAGCTATCTTAAGGTGTAAAGTATCTGAACTGTTTGGGACCCTTTGCCCACAGTGTAAGTTCTCTTGTTTAGTGACTATCTTAAGGTTATGTGATGTTTCTGACTTATTGGAACTTCGTTCATCTTCTTGGGGCCTTTATTAGGAGGTAGCTGAGTGGCTTCGGGGTTCTGTCGTTAAGGTGTGAGGTGTCTGAACAGTTTGAATTTATTTTTTTTTCTTTTTTGAGAGGTTTTTGCTATTGGGCGCATTCTGTCTTTAAGGTGTGAGGTATCTGAACAGTTAAATTTATTATTTTTTTCTTTTTTGAGAGGTTTTTGCTATTGGGCGCATGCGCTCACCAGACAGAGAGAGACAGAGAGACAGAAAGCGAGAAATCACCCCCCGGGGGGGTGGCCATGCCACAATCCCTTCTCTTCCATTCTCCTCTCAGGATCTTGGGCACGCATGCACACGCGCCCGGAATGAGTTTAAGCCACCAGGTCTGGGACTCGAACTGCGGTAGACTACGTGGGAGTCCAGCGACATAGCCATTACTAACTGCTGGTCCCCAGTTTAAATTTATTTTACAGGAGTGAGAACTTTGGTCTGCTGGAGGAGTGTCTTTGTTGCAGTATGTGTGGTCTCTGTTCTGTTGGGGGACAGGGAGAGTGCATCTGTGTCTCACGGTGTGAGGTCCCTGCAGGGATTTTCTTTTTTTTTTCAGAGAGATTTTTGCTATAAGGCACTTAGGATCACTGGAGAGACAGAGAGAGAGACAGAAAGCGAGAAATCACCCCCGGAGGGGGTGGCCATGCCACAATCCCTTTTCCTCCATTCCCTTCTTGGGATTTTGGGCATGCATATACACATACCCAGCATGAGTTTTAAGCTGCCAAGTACAGGACTCAAACCATAGTCAACTATGTGGGAGTCCAGCAACATAACCATTATGCCATCTGCTGGTCCCACAGGGATTTTCAGTCTGTCTTAGGTTGTGAGTTTGGTGAGCTGTTTTTGGTGCCTCCTGGTGTCTTAGTCCATTTGTGTTGCTATAACAGAATGTCTAAGACAGGGTGTTTTATACAGAAAAGAGATTTGGGGCCAGCTAGTGGCATGGTGGTTAAGGTGACTGGATCCCACATGGCTAACTGTAGAGTTCGAGTCCTGGACCCCACAGCTTGAAAAACACGTGGGGCATGTGTGCATATACGCCCAAAGTCTTGAGAGGAGAATGGAAGAGAAGGGATTGCAGTGTGGCCATTCCCCTCGGGGTGTTTTCTCACTTTCTCCATCTCTCTCCCTTTCTCCAGAAAGCACACGTGCTCTATAGCAAATTTTTAGAAAGAAAAAAGGATTTATTTGGCTCATGACTTTGGTGTCTGGAAAGTCCATGAGCATGGGTGTGCATTTAGCTAGCCTCTGGTGCTATGTTACAACACGATTGAGATAGGTGAGAAGAGAGTCAGTTGCATGCACAGATAGAGATCTGTGGGCAGCCAACTTGTTTCTTTTTTAAAAGTTTGCTTGAATGTGTTTATATGTTGGAGGGAGAGGCAGGAAGAAGGTACCCCCAACATGGTCCTCACACTATGACTCACCCTTAGCCTCACCCAACCAGGATCACAGACATGTGAACAAACCCAGTGCGCACAGGGAGACCTCTGAATACAAACCTGGCACCTTCTCACATGGCTTTGGCATCACGGAGCATTGCATTACCATATTGCATCAGCCACAGTGGCTGACCACAGCCAACTTGGTTTTATAACAACCTGTTATCACAATGACTAATTAATAAAAATTCACTTGCCCCTGTGAGCAGGCATTAATTATTCTTTGTAGTCTGCCCCCATGTCCCAAATATCTCCTACTAGGTTGCAGCCTCCCACTCTGTCCCATTAGATGTCAAGTTACTGTGAGGTCACAATACTCCAACCATAACATTTGCTCTCTGAGCTGTTTGGAAGTCTCTATCTCTGGAGTGAAATTGCTTACCTTTTTGATTACTAGGTCTCTGTCTAGGAACTCTGGATTTTGGAGTCTGGTGAACATGATTTCAAAGCCTTAAGCCCCATGTCCTGGTTGTATGATGTAGGGCAAATAATTTGTCTCCTTAAGCTTCAGTATATATTGTAATCAATAAAATGGGACCAGTGCCCATTTTGGAGGGTATCTGTGCATTTAGCAATGTGCATTTAGCCATCCTCCAACAATTGTCTCAGAATCTGCCATGTATCTGAGTGCTATTCTAGATTCTGGAGTTATAACAGAGAACACAACTGACAATTCCTGGTTTCATAGTTGGTCAGTGAATATATAGTGTATCACAGGGTGGTAAGTACTATATAGAAAGTTAAAGCAGGGTTGGGGAAAGGGTGAGTGGGTAGGATGTTATTTTATGCAGAGCATATAGGGAAGGTTTCCCTAAAGATATGAAAACTGAGCCGAGACCTGAAAGAAGTGAGGAAGTTGGCCATGTGATTGATTACCTGGGGAAAAAACATTCCAAGCAGAACGAATGCATTTAATAGCCCTAAGGGAGGGAAGTACTGATTGGGTCCCTGCATATCAAGGAGTCCTGTGATACTGATAAAGTTTCCTCTCAGGCTGTAGTTCTCATTGAAAAGTGCCTGGTGTCCCCCTCTCTGTTTTTCCCACAACGTATGAGAGAAGTGGAATTATCCCCATCTTACAGGCAAAAGACTCAAGGCTCAGAAAAGCATCCCAAGCCTGCACTCATACTCACACCTGAAATTCCTGAAAGAAATGTGACTTTCTATTGTAACATTAAGACACAGGCCTTGAGCCTCATAGCCAGAGTGGATGCCATCCACATTGAACATTGGCCAACCAGCCAACCTGAATAACATGGGAACCATGGCCACTATTTCTACATTTGGTAGAGGGCAAGAATTCAGGATTGAGAATGACGTGGAAGACAGAAGTAGAAAAGGGAAGAAAGGGGACAGTGAAGAGAAAGTATATTCATTGGGAAGGAACCCAGGGGATTTCTGGGATAGGGATGATGGCCTTGAACTTGGTGATTGTTATATGAATATTCAACTTGTAAATAGTTATTAAAATGTACATTTATATTTCATGTTTTCAGGCAAAAAAAGAAAAAAAAAAAACACAATTCAAAGTGCAGCGAGAAACGGGAGTAGGTGGACTGACCAGGACTCTTCCACACAACTTCCCCGTGACCCTGCTCCTAGTGTGACCATGAAATGAAATTGGCTTACTTCCTTTAGAACTTCTCCTGGGCTCTGGATCTTGTTTTCTATCCTGGATGCTACAGAGATTCCCTCAGCCCTGTTTCTGGAGATCTTACTGTGGGGAGTTGTTTATCCTGTATCCTGACACCAATTGTGGATCAGGGACACATTTTTCCAGCAGATGAAGAGAATCTTCCCCTTTTGTCCACAGACTCATGAATCTGTCTCTTCTCAGGCCTTAAAATGGCAGTAAAATATTTTTTTTTATTAAAAAGAAAAACAAGGCAGGGCAAAGCATGCCCTATGGCTTTCAATGCACACCAGAATTCTATAGGAGTTAAAGTGAGTGGCTTATGCATGTAGTGTAAAATTGCATGTAGAGTCAAAAAGAAATTATTCTGCAGTGCCCTTCACCCTGGCAAAGAAATAGTACATCTCAGGTGACCCTTTATTCAGTATGAAACAAATATTTATGGAAGTTCTCTTAATAGGAGTTTTCAATGCTCTTATATAAGCTAGTAATTTAATACTGAACTGGGAAGCAAGAGAAGACCAACCAACCAACCAGTGAATAAAGAAGTCCAAATTGTGCTAAGTGTCAGAAAGAAATCAACCTCTTAGGATGACCAGATGGCATAATGGTTACATCACTGGACTCCTACATAGTAGACCATGGTTTGAGTTCCGGATCCAGCAGCTTAAAACTCACATCGGGAGTGTGTGCCCAAAATCCCAAGAGGAGAATGGAGGAGAAGGGATTGCAGCATGGCCATCCCCCCACGGAGTAATTTCTCGCTTTCTATCTCTCTCAATCTCTCCAGTGAGTGCACAGGCCCTATAACAAAAACCTTTCTAAAAAAAAAAAAAAGAAAAAAAGAAATCTATTAATAGATGCAAGTCTAGAAACCAGCTACTTTAAATAGGGTAGTCAGGGAATGTTTCTCTAAAAAGGTCATCATGATTCAGATAAGGAAACTGCTATATGATGACAAAATGAAAGAATTAACCTAGGGGTAAAGTGTAGCATGAGAAGGGGGACTGGTAAAACTTTATGCAGAAATGGAGGAAATGCTTTCAGAAAAGAACTGGTGTGACTCTTCTGTCCAACAGTCACCTGAAGTGCACATGATACAGATACTCGAGATACAGAGCTCCAAGTCAAGAGGGAGAGGCCATACCAGGGATGAGCCTGCTAAGCAGCTCTCATCCTCTGTTTTTACTGGGGCAAAAGGAGAAGGAAACTTAATTTTTAAGAAAGTTGCTTCTTAGAGTATTAGAAAGATAAGGGTAGTTCCTGGAACAGGATGATTTC